CCCCCCCCCCCCCCCCCCCCTTAGTGCTCTCGATCCTAACAATGTCAAGTGTAGCAACTATGGTGGTAGAAAGACTTTCCTATTGTGTTTTCATGTGATGGTCAAAATATTTAACTCATTTTTACCTTCAATTAGTGGAAGAAGAAAATGTTTCTTTGCAGAGACTTGTGAAGTGTGTTTCTGTATGATGATCATACCATTTGGTCTTTTTTCTTTTTGCTCCACTAAGGAGAGAAAAAATATTCATATGATGTACAACAATAATCACTGTTGGAAGTATGTTGTGATCATTATATATCCTTGGACACCGAGATTACTTTATCCATCAACAACAAAATCTAAGTCTCTCTGCAAGATGTAGTGTTCTTAGTCTGTCCTTGTAATAAACTATGATTAATCTTCTACACACCAAGCTAACTCCTTTTAAGTAATTGCTACAAAGATGATAATCAAAGTTGCACCATGAAACTACTGTTACAGTCAATGTTGGATGCACGTTTAAGGACCAAAAGACTTCACATCCGTGTACAACAGCAGACCAGAAAGCAAAGAGATGATTACATCAAGAACATGCTGGTCTACTGTTACAGCTCGAAGAACAATAACCAATGATGATGATGTGCAGTCACAAGAACACAGAGTGATGATCAAGACCCAGCAGCTTCCTGGTCTTGCGCAGGAACAACTCCCTGGATTTGATCAGCCCTGGGAGGAACCCGGTCATTGTCGTGAAAGGCAGCTGCGCCACCGCGTCCTTCTTCCCCAAGGAGACCATGGTTATCGAGACTGTGGGCCTGTACTTGCTCAGCTTGATCTCCTTGTTGCCCCCTTTCAGCAGCAGCTTGAGGTTCTTCGCCACCACCATGGCGTGCCTCTGCGCAAGCACTCCTTGCTTGCGTTCCTGCAACCAACACCCACAAATAATGCAGAGAACGATGCCTTGAGCAAATGATCACTGTCTGAAAGCTTGCATGCCTTTGCAACATAGAAAGTAGAAGCTTCAGATGCTCTCTCTCTCTCTCTCTCTCTGGGGGATAGAATTATACTATGTTGATTGCCTATGGAAACAGTGGCAAGTCAAGGATAGACAAGAAGAAGGCTTCATGACATGAGAGGTGGTAATGTGAGGCACATATAGATGTGAGTGAGACAAAGAGAATCAAGGGACTTACAGGTACATCAATGATGTCTCCGATGGCAAAGATATTGTTTCGGCCTTTGACTCTCAAGTGTTCATCAACCATAAGCTGTCCATACTTGTCCATGGAATCCTTTACGATCGACTCTCTCATCCATGAAGTCCCCAAAGGTCTTTTCACACACACATAGTGGCAGTCAGCTGCAATGGCTTCTCCAGCTGAAGTGATGTATATTCCATCCACCTCAGATACGGAATCCAAATCCACCGACTGCTCCAACAGCACGTCAACATTCTTGGATCTCAACCAGTCCAAGGCTTTGTTGCCTGCTTTGTGCCCTATGAATCCAAGCAACCGTGGTCCGTTGTGGACCAAAGTCACCTTCTTTTCTGGATACACTGATGCGATATCTGAAGCAAGTTCGACGCCGGTTGGCCCTCCTCCGATCACAAGAACAGAGCTCGAAGTCCTCATCTTTATGTTCGCTGAGATTGAACCGAAGCAAATTAGCAGGTAAAATAACATAGCAAACAATGAATTCGGTGCGATGAGTATTGAGATGGAAAAGTATTTTGGATGTTAAATCTTAGGATGAAATGTGTTGGATGAAACAAAGCCAATATGCGGGGGGGTTAAGACGCATGCCTTCCTTGAACTTTTCGAGTCGGTCTTTCCTGCACTTGGGAGAAGAAGCTACATGGCCAGTAGCGACAACGAGGTAGTCGTACGCCACTTGACGACCATCGGAGGTGATCACATCCGTGTCCGTGATGTCGACCGCGGATGCCGTGATGACTTTGCCGTTGATTAGGTAATCGGTGTGGTTGATGATCGCCTTGTCCGCAACCGCGGGATCCACCATGGATCTCATCGTTGCCCACGGGATCTCGAAGTACTCCTTCCTGGTGTCAAGACGTGGGAAGATGAGGGGAATGTGGCATGGGGAGGGACGGGAGGGTTAGTGCGTACTGGTCGATGAGGATGACGTCGGCGTTGAACTGGAGGGACTTGGCGATGAGAGAGCCGCCTATGCCGCCTCCGACGACGACGACGCGTTGCCAGAGTTGGTTGCCGCTGCGGCCGCTGCTGCTAGAGATGCTGGAGGGGTCTCGTAGGCAGACGCCGGGATCGCTAGAGACGGAGGTGGAGCGGGGGGTGGTGAGGCCGCACTGGGGGGAGCGGTCTCCTTCCATCTCTCTTTCTTCCACGGCTGCGTTGTGTGCATTCCCAAGTCAGAGGAAGGAGGGGGGGAGGAGGAAGAATAAGAAGAGGGAGGACGAGGTGGTGGAAGGAGGAATAAGAAGAGAGAGCGGAGCGGATGGGCGCGCGAAGTTGGCTCCGCTTCCGTCGCTTGTCTTCCCGCGTGGACCGCAGAGAGCCTCCTTAGGATCAACTATTTTCTTTTCTTTTATTATTTTCTGACAAAATTATGTATACATGTCATATATATATATATATATATATATATATATATATATATATATATATATATATATATATATATATATATATATATATATATATATAT